ATGTGTTTGTCCTGTGTGTGTTGTGAGTGTTTTCTGATGTGTTTGTCCTGTGTGTGTTGTGAGTGTTTTCTGATGTGTTTGTCCTGTGTGTGTTGTGAGTGTTTTCTGATGTGTTTGTCCTGTGTGTGTTGTGAGTGTTCTCTGATGTGTTTGTTCTGTGTGTGTCGTGTGTTCTCTGATGTGTTTGTCCAGTGTGTGTTGTGAGTGTTCTCTGATGTGTTTGTCCTGTGTGTGTTGTGAGTGTTCTCTGATGTGTTTGTCCTCTGTGTGTTGTGAGTGTTTTCTGATGTGTTTGTCCAGTGTGTGTTGTGAGTGTTCTCTGATGTGTTTGTCCAGTGTGTGTTGTGAGTGTTTTCTGATGTGTTTGTCCAGTGTGTGTTGTGAGTGTTCTCTGATATGTTTGTATAGTGTGTGTTGTGAGTGTTCTCTGTTGTGTTTGTCCAGTGCGTGTTGTGTTTTCTGATGTGTTTGTCCTGTGTGTGTTGTGAGTGTTCTCTGATGTGTTTGTCCAGTGTGTGTTGTGAGTGTTCTCTGATATGTTTGTATAGTGTGTGTTGTGAGTGTTCTCTGTTGTGTTTGTCCAGTGCGTGTTGTGTTTTCTGATGTGTTTGTCCAGTGTGTGTTGTGAGTGTTCTCTGATGTGTTTGTCCAGTGTGTTTTGTGAGTGTTTTCTGATGTGTTTGTCCAGTGTGTGTTGTGAGTGTTTTCTGATGTGCCAATGCAGTGTGTGTTGAGTTTTCTGATGTGTTTGTCCTGTGTGTGTTGTGAGTGTTCTCTGATGTGTTTGTCCAGTGTGAGCTGTGAGTGTTCTCTGATGTGTTTGTCCAGTGTGAGCTGTGAGTGTTCTCTGTTGTGTTTGTCCAGTGCGTGTTGTGTTTTCTGATGTGTTTGTCCTGTGTGTGTTGTGAGTGTTTTCTGATGTGTTTGTCCAGTGTGTGTTGTGAGTGTTCTCTGATGTGTTTGTCCAGTGTGTGTTGTGAGTGTTCTCTGATGTGTTTGTCCTGTGTTTTGTGAGTGTTCTCTGATGTGTTTGTCCAGTGTGTGTTGTGAGTGTTCTCTGATGTGTTTGTCCAGTGTGTGTTGTGAGTGTTTTCTGATGTGTTTGTCCAGTGTGTGTTGTGAGTGTTCTCTGATGTGTTTGTCCAGTGTGTGTTGTGAGTGTTCTCTGATGTGTTTGTCCAGTGTGTGTTGTGAGTGTTCTCTGATGTGTTTGTCCAGTGTGTGTTGTGAGTGTTTTCTGATGTGTTTGTCCAGTGTGTTTTGTGAGTGTTCTCTGATGTGTTTGTCCAGTGTGTGTTGTGAGTGTTCTCTGATGTGTTTGTCCAGTGTGTGTTGTGAGTGTTTTCTGATGTGTTTGTCCAGTGTGTGTTGTGAGTGTTTTCTGATGTGTTTGTCCAGTGTGTGTTGTGAGTGTTCTCTGATGTGTTTGTCCAGTGTGTGTTGTAAGTGTTTTCTGATGTGTTTGTCCAGTGTGTTTTGTGTTTTCTAATATGTTTGTCCAGTGTGTGTTGTTATTGTTTTCTGATGTGTTTGTCCAGTGAAATAAGGGCAGGTGAAAACATTCAAGGTATCTTTGTGGGGTCTGGGGATTCAGTGTGTAGAAAAAAGAATAGACTGTTCTGCTCCCCCATCCCCCACCATATTATAGGAGGCGACTAATTAGGGGTGTTTTTTTCAAGGTTGGAGTGCAGCTGCCTGAGAGAGCAAGGAGTCAACAGCTTGCATATAAATAAGCCAAATATATAAAACATATCCTTTAAATGTATATCTGACCAGATGACGAATTAGTTTAAATGGAGCTGCAGCAATGTAGTGGTTAAACACTTGTCTGCAAAGGTAAAAGTCCTAGGTTCAAGTCAATACTGTCTCATTTTGTTTGTTTGCAAAATTAACCTTGGCTCCCGAGTTGACCTAGCCTAAAAAAGGGTACCTAGCAATGCTAAGTGAAGTACAGACGGCTGATGTAATACTGACAAGCATGCCATACAAGTTGACTAATTGGGGGTGTTTCCTTCAAAGTCACAGTGCATCTGCCTTAGAGGCGAGGAATCAAGAGTCTACATATAAATAAGCCAGATCTGTAAAATAAACGTGCATGCAAAACTCAAGTTTTAGAATAAGACTGAAGTCCAGAAGTGGATGAACAACCAGAACTTTCCAACAGATTTTACAGCTGGTGAACAGTAAGAAGACAAATTATTGTAAATGCCCATTAAATGTACATCCGGCTGAATGAGGCAAATGTTCAAGCGTCCTTCAAATGTATATCTGTAAGTGCACAAGTAGGACTTATTACTGACTACTGAAAGAAATATGAACCAGACTGCTTTATAAGTAATTTATTTTGATATAAGAATATTACCTGTTGGCATATAATTGTGAAATGCAAAACATTCTCGTCATAAAGGAATGTTAACTGGATACAAATAATGTGTCGCATATGGTTAAGTTAGTTGCATGTCCTTTAGAGCAGTATTCCTCAACCCAAACCCGCGGCACATCAAAACAGAGAAACTTGTTTTAAAATTTCATGTCACAAAATTACAACTTTCAGTTAATGCATAAACCACTGCTCAGAAATCAGAAATACATGCAGTTGCGTGCAGTTTCCGGAATTTGTACCTGTTTTATCTTCATCCTTGATGTGATACTCCTACAGACGGTGGTCCTGGAGGAGAAAACCATCTACCCTAACTTGTAACATGGTTAGGCAAAAATTATGGTGGTCCACCCCGACTTGTCTGTGGCTCACAAGTGGGCCCTGGCTTACCGGTTGAAGAACACTGTGAAAATGCACTAACAACTATGGCAATTGTGTGCACAAAGACCAAAAATATTGTGAAAATAGTTCAAGCCTTGAATTATATTTGTTGTTAGTACCTTTCTGTCTTTCCAGATAGATATTGTACAGGTTTTCATTAAAAAAAAAACTGGCAACCTCTGGACCTGAGAAGTGCTGGATATGTGAAAATGCCGCATTTTTTAATTGTTACATATGCTGTATATATTTTTTTTTAAATGGCTACCTATGCAGTCCTTTAAGGAAAGAAAATTAAACATTAAATGAAAAGCAAATAAAATTTTAATCTTTACCAACTAAATAAAATAGATCTTCTGAATTTTAATTCAACCGAATAAAATTGTTCCTTGAAGTTTTATATAAAAAAGATCCTTAGCATGAGCAGTAATAGCCAACATCTGATTCTGGAATACAGTGCCATTAACTCTTTGAGTCCAAGGGGGTTTAGCATCACAGACCCAGGGGCTAATAAAGAGAGTTATAAAATCGGTGCATCATGCGTTCATTGGGCTTCTGGGTAGGAACCTATGAACGTATGATACGTTCCTTGGGACTCAAAGAGTTAGAACATAAACATCACGTCCAGAAAACAACTGGGCTATAGTATAGTAAATCTGATGTGCTCCAAAATCAATGCTAGAAATTGAAGGAAATGAGAGAAAACTGAAGGACCTAGATAATCGATGGCCAGATTTGTGAATGTTCACTTGTAACGTGCTACAGAGAGGCATGCGAATCACACTGGTCAATTAATGCCAGGGATGAAGTCCCTCCTCTTAAGGGCACAAAGCCTGAGGAGTACCGTAGAGAACATGTGTTAGCCATGCAGCATGATTCCCTTCCCTTGGCCTGCTCTGTTTTACTGCGAAGACAACACCTACAACCATGTACACTATCTGTATGAAACAACACTGTTGTTTCTGGTGAATAAAACTTATGCATTCACAAAAAATGTAAAAGCAGGACTAGAATGTCAACATTGGCAATATCATATGACAATATGCAGCAATATCATATGACAATATGCAGCAATATCATATGAAAAATAAAGCAAAATCATGTTGGTGAAAGCAATATCATATGAAAAATAAAGCAAAATCATGTTGGTGAAAGCAATATCATATAATAATATGTGACCATAATTTCTCTAAACAAATGGCAACATAACATAAGCTGACCATATTTCTTTGTAGCTAAATTGGGACACTGGAATGGGAAAAAAGACTTGGCTCATATAATATTCTTCTCTGTGTGGATTTAGGGGCACCATATTGTGACTGTGATTGTGATGATGTGATGTGATGTGATGTGATGTGATGATGTGATGTGATGTGTGTGTGTATGTGTGTGTGTGTGCGCGCGCGTGCGTGCGTGCCTGTGTGTGTGTGCGCACGCATGCGTGCGTGCGTTAGGAGTTGAGGGAATAGACCAACTCCCCTCCCCTCAACCTCCCTTCCCAAAAATAAGACATGTCATAAGACTAATTATGGGCATTTCCTTTCAAAACTGCAATGCATCTACAGAAAGGAGAGACACCAACAGTCTGCATTAAAAACAGGCTTCTTCCTTTCGTTTGTCTAAGTGGCATAGCTATTTACAGCAAAGCTGTGATATTTGTGCCTTTCAGCCGATACATCTGACTTCGAGCATTTGTTGACCTGGCTAACTTCCCGGATAGTTTCCTGGGATAGTGACATCTTGTGGCCTTATCTGTGTGGTGTTCTCGTTGTCCCCTTATCTACAGGTGTTGCCCCCGGAGAGCCCATCCAGGACGTCCGTGTGTAGCCAGGTCAACCTTCAAGGGAAGGCAGCGGCAGATCAAGGGCATTCCCTGTCATCCAAGGAGACTTCCATAAACACAGAACCAACACATGACCTTTTTGTCCTGGGCTCACACAAGGAATCGTCACAATTCCAAAGATGACCCCAAATTTTAAATTTACATATTTTTGGGAAAACATATAGTCTTATATATGTAAACATATAGTATATTTGGCACACAATAAAGAGATTACGAAACATGAAACAATAAAACTGCATTGTCCCATTTAAACTGGTACATAGGATCAGCCTAATAAAATAAGTATGTGTAGATGCATGTGGCATGTAAATGGAATGTGACCACAAATATATTTAGTCTGTGACGATGGATTATAATCTAAAGGAGGACACTGCTTTTAGGGTGTTTGGTGCTACTGCTTTACATATACCAGGTCATGACAATGGTTGACCACTTCCCTTTGCTGCCACATCACCTTCCTGGAGAAATATTTAGTAGCTATAGTTTACAAGGTAGTCCGGCAAGGCACTTGATAATGATGATGATGACTTTACAAGGTAGCGGCCAGATTCGCCTGCAGATTCGAAAGTCATGGTGTCAAATCTGACGGAGCCAGCCTATTTTTTAAAATGACCATGGTTGCCAGCGTGATCCAGCCTTAAATGAGTGCCATGTAAAGTGCCAACTGGTTTATAGAATATAGGTCTGCACTATATGCCAAATAGGCCTGTTTGGTGTAGTTAAGGGTCCTATACCTTTACTTCTTTTTCACTTCCTCTTCTATCTCTTTGGTTGTCAAGGTGTTGAGGGACATATAAAGGTTCTGCTTCTTGCTTTTTTGGCTGCTGCAACCATTGTGCTGTTGTAGAGTTTCTTTGATGTTATCTGTCCATCTTGTTCTTGGTCTACCTAGTGCTCTACATCCTTCTCCTCTTCTGGTGTAAGTGTTGTATGGTATGGTGTCACAACGCATTCTCTCTAAGTGGGTAAATCATTTGATTTCTGTGCATGTGCTGACTTGTTCTCTTAAGACCCCATTCCTGATTTTATTTCTAGAATTAATTTTTACTGCTTACTTTTGTATTTCACAAGATGAGTGGGGAGCCCAGAATCTTGACAAATAAAAATACTGGTTCTACTGAGAACTCAAATAAAATGACAATGTGGTAAGCCAAGAAACTATCCCCCAAGTGACACTGGTTTTCTGTAGAACATATGTGCTTGCAACACTCAGGTTCTGCAACAATGTCTAAAGTCCGGAGGTGGCCGAACAACCAGAACTTTCTGCCAGAGTTTAAACAAAGAAGAAGAAAAAAAAAGTAAATAAAGAAAGATAAATTCACTGGTAGGGTCCGAAAGTTCCCAAAAATATAGATTGTATTTTTGTGTTTTATGTAAAAAAATTTTATTAACTTGTTTGAACGAAAATAGTGTTCAAAAATATTAATTCAATTACGACCAGTTCGACTTCTGACCTGTTGGTCTGAATGGAACTCAGTTGTAAGACAAGAAAAGCCTGTAGATTTGTAATGAAGCAACCAACTCCCTTCCTCTCATCTCTTCTTTTCCCAGCTCAAGAAAGTCAAGTCTTCCTGTGCCAGGAGACAGGCAACTTAGTTACAAATCAATGCATGATGTGTTCCTATGTATCAGGAGAGTTAAGTTTCTGTGTCTATGATCACTGTGAACAGTCAAAAGGTTGTACAGCATACATATAGCAATGTCTTGACATACAGTACTGGAGTGTTTTCTCTATAACAGACAGTAAGTAACAATGTAGATGATCCTTGCATGTCTTCAGGCAGACTGGGTATATGCTAGCCCCATATTTTCATAGACTCATTTCTACCTGTCAGGTAAAATTCTCTATGTTGGCTCAGGGCTTCATTTTGGAGAAAACAAAAACAGACCCACTGTCTACTAACAAGCATGGTGTAAGCGGTAAATAATTTGGATTTGAAATAGGATGTGTTGGGCGGAAAGATGGGGAGGTACTGCAGTCCAGCAGTAAACCAACAGCACAAAGCAAACAACCCTTTCAATGTCAAAGCAGAAAAGAAGAAGAAGAAAAAACAAGAGAAGAGAAAAAAGAAAAAAAAAGGAAGAAGAAGAAGGAAAAAAAAAGGAGGAGGAAGAAGATACGAAAGAAGAACAAATAGAAGAAGATGATGAAGAAGAAGAACAAAAAGAAGATGAAGAAAAGAAATTTAAAAGAAATAATATACAGGAAAAGAAAAGGAAGAAGGTGAACAAGAAGAGGAAGAAGATGAAGAAGATGAGGAAGAAGAAGAAGAAAAAGAGGAAGAAGAATTAGATCGATAAAATAAAGTCACAGGCCTCCAACCCCTTATTAATGTATACATAGTGATAGTCTCAGATGGTATATGTTATATTATTTTATCGTATATACACATTCTAGTGAGGCAGTTCTCAAAGATTTACAAATGAAGTGGTTTGGACACCTAACAAGAATGCCCTGGTACTATCCCCCACAGCGAGCCACACGAAAACGTTCCAACGGGTGTAGAGCGAGTGGAAGACCTCGGAAAATATGGAGTGATGGCATTAAGAACAGCCTTACAGAAATGAACATCAGTCTTAATAGTGCTCTTGACAGAGCTCATCAACGAACATTACATCTCCCCCCGAGGTACAAGGTGGAAGAGAAGAAGAAGAAGAAGAAGTGAGACAGTGCACTTGGCTCAAATCTGAATATATATGTATATACAAACTCTACAGACACCTTCCTTGTCTGAGTTCTGGGAACCCATTTTTAGGGGGGGGGGGGGGGGGGGGGAGAAGAACAAACCCACTGTCCCACATCAAGCATGTCATAAAAGTGGCTAGAGGCTTGCTGAAACTGCATGTGTTGGGCCAAAAGGTGCAAATATCCCAACCCAGCTATAAACCACAACATAATATGCCAACTGCCCTGTTTGAGGGTGAATGATGAAGATACAGACACCTGGGCAGACACTGGGGATGATCTGACAGTCAACAAATGAGCCAGCTAGTGCACAAGTTTGTTATTTCTGGTGTTTCTCCGTTTCTGCATCCATTGCATCACTGTTGACAGAGACAAACATGGTATTAAACTTTAACCACACAATGTTAGTAAGATTATCTCAATATTCATAGTACAATTGTATCCTAATCGCAACCCAGAAAGGTATAAACAAAGCAAAATTTAAAACAATAATGCAAATTGTATACTTGTCCTAAATAAATAATTATTTGATATATAAAATAACAAATATATACTCTGAGAACTCGATGAATACTATATACCCCAATTATAACCTTTAGAGCTGATCAGGATATTTTTTTTTTCAAATTACTACAACTATTTGATATTAAAGTTAGTAACTAAACCAAATATAAGCTGTGACTTGACTTGACAGCTAACTTTCATATGCACCTTTCCATCTTTCCAGGTAACAGTAGGGATCACAGCCAATCCTGGTTGCCAACTAATAAAGACTGATAACCCTGAATTGCATAACTGAGATAAAAAACAAAATAGGACAGGCAAAAACTGCATTTTATAAAATGAAAAACATCTTGTGCAATATATCCTTGTTATTGAGAGTTAGAAAAAGAATTCTTGCTCGCTACATACATCCAGTTTTAACATATGGCTGTGAATCCTTGACAATCGGTAGGCAGGCCAAACAATTTCTAGAGGCCTCAGAGATGTGGTTTTACAGAAGAATGCTTAGAATACCTTGGACGGCCAAAAAGAGCAACCAAGAAGTTTTGAAAGAGGCGGGAGCCTGAAGACAACTTATCACAGACATCAGAAGGAGACAGTCATCATTTTTCGGCCATGTTATGAGAAGAGGGGAAACAGAACATGTTGTGACCACTGGAAAGATCTGTGGAAGGAGGGATAGAAGAAGACAATGAGAGAAGATGCTTGACAGTCTTGTTGCATGGCATGGAAGGTGTGTCGGCACACGAACTGACACATGCTGCAGGAGATCGCAGAATATGGAGAAGCATGATCGCCCACGCCAGTCGGCAAGGCACCTGATGATGATGATGAACCCCTAACTGCTGCCTCTCAATTTGATTCCAAGACGCTTTATGCTCAGGGATGAAGTTTCTTCTCTCAACAGCACAAAGACATGTAGTATTGCAGAGAACATGTGTTGGCCACGCAGCACGATCCCTTACTTGGCCTGCTTTGTTAACTCGAAAGCAAAGGTAATACCAATACGTCTGCCCCAACGCAACCAAATGTTGTGCCCGGTCTTTAAAATTTTTTTTTTTTTTTTATATTTATGAATATTTTTCATCTGTCTCTAGCAGGTTTGCTCTATTCTCCTAAACATAAAAAAATTATATATCATTTTTAAGTGCCCTGTCAACTGGGGTGGGCAATCATGCCTCCCCACAATCTGAGATCTTCAACAACATGTATCAGTTGTGTACTGACACCTCTCCATGCCATCAGAAAAGGCTGTCAAAAAATCATCTCATACTGTCATACTCTGTCACTTTTACTGCAGAGGTTTCCAGTGGTCACAACATTTTTCAGTGTCCTTTTTCTCATAACATAACCAAAAAATGATGGCTGTCACTTTCTGATTTTTGTGATTAGTTGTCTTTGAGTCCTTGCCTCTTTTAAAACATCTGGGTTGCTCTTTTTGGCTGTCCCAGGAATTCTAAGGATTCTTATGTAAAGCTCCATCTCTGAGGTCTCCAGAAATTGTCTGGCTTGTTATATAATACTTATCTGAATAATGGGGAGCCAGAGAGGCATAGTGACCAGACACTCATGCTGGCCTGAAGGTCTTCTTAGGTTCGAATCTGCATCAAGGCTGACTTAGGAAAAAAACAACCTTGGCTGCCAGAACGACCCAGCCTGAAATGGTTACCAGGTCATGTACTGGGAAGTAAAGGCGGTCAGAGTTATATGACAACATCACCCACTGAGTGCCCAATTGGTCTGTAAAACACACTATGCCTGATACTTCACTGGCATAAAGGGTCGTTGACCTTGACTTACTTGAAGAACGGCAAGACCAGGACCAGTTTCTCCTTGCTGACATTTGCTGCCATCTCAGGACTTTTCTCCACCATTAAATTGATGACTCTTCGCAGGTAGGTCTGAAACAGTTTGCGCCTTGACTCTACCAATCTGGCATCCTGAAAACGTAAAAGCTAGTTCAGTAGAGGTTTCTGTATTGTTTGTGAGGTCTGCTGTTTGTTTGTTGTTGTTTGCGTTCACCGGCTATAAACTCCAGTGGAAAGACCTGGTTGTTTGTCCATTTCTGGACTTTGGCTTTGTTCCAGGACCTGAGTTTTGCGTGTGCATCTGTTTTACAGATCTGACTTATTTGTATGCAGATTGCTGGTTCCTTGCCTCTCAGGCAGATGCACTCTGACTTCAAAGGAAGCTCCCCAATTAGTCGACTCTGACGACATGCTTTTGGGTAGGCAGAGGGTCTATTCTTGTTTTCCCCACAATGGGGCCCCAGAACCCACACGGGGACTGCATGCCTGAAAGGAGTGAACAAGGTTAAGCATTTTTCTGTTGGGGGCAAAAATTTAAATCCTCTCACCCGCACAGTCCATGGCAACAGCACTAGCCATGCGGGCCTAAATCCTGAAGCTCAAAGACCCCCTGCCTACACCGCAAAAAAAAGTGGTAAAATAAAGACAGTAATAGGATGCTTTTCTTTTTTTTCAAGTACTCATTCTTGTTTCTTTCCAGCATTCCCAGTCTTGGAGGTTCACTGTGCAGATAACACCTGTCTTTGTTCATCCCTGTGACTGGCCTTTTCTCTCCAGTTGTCAATCACATATTACACATTGCTAGGTAAAGAAAGAGTTCTTCTTTTCGTTCGTCTGAGTGATGTAACTGCAATGTGCTTAATTATAGTAAAGATGCAATATTTGCACTTTTTGGCTGATACAACCGACTTCATCAAGCATTTGTTGGCACAGTTACCTTCCTGGATAGTTTAGAGGCACAAGACTTATTTTTGTGCTGTCTCTTTTTGTCCCCTTACCTACAGGTGTTGCCCCTGGTGATCCTGTTCACCTTCCCTCAGCCTGTGACCCCCCAAAAAATCACTGCGCCACATGAAAGAGTTAAAAATACATAAAGATCACAGAGTGCCATTTATGGGGAAACAGAATTACCCCCTTCCCCTTAACAAGCATGTCATAGAAGGCAACTAATTAGGAAACTGCTAAAAGTGGATGTTCTGGGCGGCAAGGTGCAGATATCACAGCTTAGCTGTAAGCCACAACCATCACTTGTAGGGAAAATATTGAAGAAGAAGATGAAGAAGAAGAATACAGAAAGAAAGAAAACAAATCCAATGACATGCAGTAATGAAAATCAAACCTTTTTTCCAATTGTCTTTTTTGGTGGAAACTCAAAAGTGCCAATGATTGGGTAAACTTTCTTCAATCGGAGGTGAGTGTCTAGAAACTGGCTGTATCGTCTGTAGACATTCCATTCTTGATCTCGGATCCGAACAAAAACCTTGTAGGAGAAGAATACAATCAAGCACCAGATAGTAGATAATAAACAACAATATACAGCGGAGGTGGCTGGAATCATACAGATTTAGCAATGTTGAATGTTGAATGTTGAATTAAGCATCTCACTGTGAGGGTTCCAGGGCCCCATTGTGGGGAAAACAAGAATAGATCCACTGCCTCCCCAACAAGCATGTCGGAGAAGTCGACTAATTGAAGGCATCTTTAAAGTCGGAGTACATCTGCTTGACAGGAATGAAACCAAGAGTCTGCATACAAATAAGTCAGATCTGTGAAACGATGTGCATACAACATTCAGGTTGTAGAACAACAAGAGTTTATAGCCGTTGAATGTAAAGAAGAAGAATAAAATTCAGAATCAACATCATAGCACTTGGGACACTGCCTTAAGTGCTCCCTTTCCATCTTCGGTAGCAAGCTTAAAGTTGCAATTCCAATGGCACCAGTAACAGTCAGACTGTATATCCATCTTGCTGTTTCCCCTGAGTGATGAGCTTCAGCCAGATCCACTGGTCATTGTTGATCTGTCTCAGTCTTTCCCCTGAGTGTGTGAGCGTTGGCCAGATCCACTGGTCATTGTTGATCTGTCTCAGTCTTTCCCCTGAGTGTGTGAGCGTTGGCCAGATCCACTGGTCATTGTTGATCTGTCTCAGCCTTTCCCCTGAGTGTGTGAGCGTTGGCCAGATCCACTGGTCATTGTTGATCTGTCTCAGCCTTTCCCCTGAGTGTGTGAGCATTGGTCAGATCCACTGGTCATTGTTGATCTGTCTCAGTCTTTCCCCTGAGTGTGTGAGCATTGGTCAGATCCACTGGTCATTGTTGATCTGTCTCAGCCTTTCCTATGAGTGTGTGAGCATCGGTCAGATCCACTGGTCATTGTTGATCTATCTCAGCCTTTCCCCTGAGTGTGTGAGCGTTGGCCAGATCCACTGGTCATTGTTTATCTGTCTCAGTCTTTCCCCTGAGTGTGTGAGCATTGGTCAGATCCACTGGTCATTGTTGATCTGTCTCAGTCTTTCCCCTGAGTGTGTGAGCATTGGCCAGATCCACTGGTCATTGTTGATCTATCTCAGCCTTTCCCCTGAGTGTGTGAGCGTTGGCCAGATCCACTGGTCATTGTTTATCTGTCTCAGTCTTTCCCCTGAGTGTGTGAGCATTGGTCAGATCCACTGGTCATTGTTGATCTGTCTCAGTCTTTCCCCTGAGTGTGTGAGCATTGGCCAGATCCACTGGTCATTGTTTATCTGTCTGTCTTTCCCCTGAGTGTGTGAGCATTGGCCAGATCCACTGGTCATTGTTGATCTGTCTCAGTCTTTCCCCTGAGTGTGTGAGCATTGGTCAGATCAACTGGTCATTGTTGATCTGTCTCAGTCTTTCCCCTGAGTGTGTGAGCATTGGCCAGATCCACTGGTCATTGTTTATCTGTCTCAGTCTTTCCCCTGAGTATGTGAGCGTCGGTCAAATCCACAGTCTTTCCCCTGAGTATGTGAGCGTCGGTCAAATCCACAGCCTTTCCCCTGAGTATGTGAGTGCCGGTCAAATCCACAGTCTTTCCCCTGAGTATGTGAGCATTGGCCGTTAAATCCACAGCCTTTCCCCTGAGTATGTGAGTGTCGGTCAAATCCACAGTCTTTCCCCTGAGTATGTGAGCATTGGCCAGATCCACTGGTCATTGTTTATCTGTCTCAGTCTTTCCCCTGAGTATGTGAGCGTCGGTCAGATCCACTGGTCATTGTTGATCTATCTCAGCCTTTCCCCTGAGTGTGTGAGCAACGGTCAGATCCACTGGTCATTGTTGATCTGTCTCAGTCTTTTCCCTGAGTGTGTGAGCATTGGTCAGATCCACTGGTCATTGTTGATCTGTCTCAGTCTTTCCCCTGAGTGTGTGAGCATTGGTCAGATCCACTGGTCATTGTTGATCTGTCTCAGTCTTTTCCCTGAGTGTGTGAGCATTGGTCAGATCCACTGGTCATTGTTTATCTGTCTCAGTCTTTCCCCTGAGTATGTGAGCGTCGGTCAGATCCACTGGTCATTGTTGATCTATCTCAGCCTTTCCCCTGAGTGTGTGAGCATCGGTCAGATCCACTGGTCATTGTTGATCTGTCTCAGTCTTTTCCCTGAGTGTGTGAGCATTGGTCAGATCCACTGGTCATTGTTGATCTGTCTCAGTCTTTTCCCTGAGTGTGTGAGCGTTGGCCAGATCCACTGGTCATTGTTGATCTGTCTCAGTCTTTTCCCTGAGTGTGTGAGCGTTGGCCAGATCCACTGGTCATTGTTGATCTGTCTCAGTCTTTTCCCTGAGTGTGTGAGCATTGGCCAGATCCACTGGTCATTGTTGATCTGTCTCAGTCTTTTCCCTGAGTGTGTGAGCATTGGCCAGATCCACTGGTCATTGTTTATCTGTCTCAGTCTTTCCCCTGAGTGTGTGAGCATTGGCCAGATCCACTGGTCATTGTTTATCTGTCTCAGTCTTTCCCCTGAGTGTGTGAGCATTGGTCAGATCCACTGGTCATTGTTGATCTGTCTCAGTCTTTCCCCTGAGTGTGTGAGCATTGGTCAGATCCACTGGTCATTGTTTATCTGTCTCAGTCTTTCCCCTGAGTATGGAGCGTCAGCCAGGTTCCCTCCCCAGAGGTGCTGAATCTTTGTGGTCATCCTAGAAACAGGTTCCCAATCTGAGGCTTTGTCTCAGCCAACACAGACAGAATCAATGTTTCCTTCACAGTCCACTTCTGGACTCTGGTCTTGTTCCAGAACCTGAGTTCTGTGTGCAAACCCATTTTACAGTTCTGGTTTATTAGTATGCAGATTGTTTGTTGGTCACCTTTCAGGCAGATACACACCAACTTTGAAGGAAAATTCCCTTATTAGTTGCCTTTTATGACATGCTTACATGTCCCCCCCCCCCCCCCCCCCCCCCCCAACAAGGCCCTATTCGTCTTTAGGGCTCCGATTTCTTTACAATTTTGTAATGAGTGTATGTTTGCTTGCAACATTAATTACTTTAGCATTTTTTCACCATTAGAGCATGGAAGTATACCTGTTTTAGAAATGACTGTCCCCATGTGGGTTCCGGGGATTCGTTTAGGAGAATAGAAAATAGACCCATTCCTCTCCTAAAAGCTTGTCAGTTAAGGCGAATAATTTTTTTTTTTTTTTAAGTCGGAGTGCATCTCCCTGAGAGGCAAGGTACCAAATCTGTAAAATGGATGTGCATGCAAAACTCAAGTTCTGGATCAAGACCAAAGCCCAGAAGGGGACAAACAACCAGAATCTTTCCACTGCAGTTTACAGCTGGTGAATACAAATGAGAGGAGAAGAAGAAGAGTATTAGAAATGGCCGGCAGTGCACAAAACAAAAGACTGGATAGACAAGATAACCAATGCTACCTGGCATGAACTGGCAGGTGACAACTGCTCTAGCTTTATGGCTACACTGACCTTCTTACCTGGTAAACATGATGCATCTTGTTGGCACTTCCCCTGAGGAATGCTGAAGGAATCCAGATGTTGATCAGAGGTCGCTGTAAGCATACACTGTATATGGAAAAGTTTATTTAAAAAAAATATTTTAAAAATAAATTTAAAATAAAAGTGACTTGCATGTCATTTTCAGGAGGTCACAAACTAGACCCACAATTCATTGCCTGTTGTGCGGTGTTACTAGGCAATTCTACATTCAGCAGTTTGCCACTGTCTTTTGAATGACATGACGCTCATACCATTGTCGGTGTCAAACAAATCGCAAGCAACGGACTTTAAATGATGATGTGACAGGATTGTGAAACTGCATCCAGTACCCCTAATTTAGGTTTTCCAGCCTACAATAAGTATCAGGCAGGCGGATTGAGACTGGCCGAATCACCCATCTACAGCAGATTCTCCTTCTTCCTTTTCTTCTTCTTCTTCTTCTTCCCTTCTTCTTTAGCATTCTGAGCCCTTGTGGTTTATTGCCTCAGACATCACCTGCCTCCATTCGCCTCTGATTGGATTTCGCTTTCCAACTGATGAGCCAAGTGTTTGTAGGTCCACCTTGTTGGGGAAGAACAGATTCACTGTCCCCCTCCCCTCAAACAAGCATGTCATAGCAGACGTTCAGCAACCTGTGTTTGGCATGTTGTGATGGCTATTTCCCAATGTGGGTTCCGGGGTCCTGTTGTGAGGAATAAATATTATAGGCCCACGGCCTCCATAACAATTATGTCATAAAACCCAACTAATTAGAGGTGCTTCCTTCGAAGGAGTGCATGTACCTAAGAGGCCAGGAACCAGCAACAGGCATACAAATAAAATAGATCTGTAAAACAGATGGGCAGGCAAAGCTCAAGTTCTGGAACAAGACGAAAGTCTATAAGTGGATGAACAGCCAGGATTTTCCACCAGAGATTACAGCCAGTAAACACAAAGAAGAACAGGAATAGTAGGTCTGCCTGTATATTATCTCTCCACCAATGATGAGAACACCAAGGGCAAATGATGAGAACACCAAGGGCAAATGATCAGAACACCAAGGGCAAATGATGAGAACACCAAAGTCAAAAGATGAGAACACCAAGGGCAAATGATGAGAACACCAAGGGCAAATGATCAGAACACCAAGGGCAAATGATCAGAACACCAAGGGCAAATGATCAGAACACCAAGGGCAAATGATCAGAACACCAAGGGCAAATGATGAGAACACCAAGGGCAAAAGATGAGAACACAAAGGGCAAATGATGAGAACACCAAGGGCAAATGATCAGAACACCAAGGGCAAATGATCAGAACACCAAGGGCAAATGATGAGAACACCAAGGGCAAATGATGAGAACACCTAGGGCAAATGAAGAGAACACCTAGAGCAAATGATGAGAACACAAAGGGCAAATGATAAGATAATCAAGAGCAAATGAAGAGAACACCTAGAGCAAATGATGAGAACACAAAGAGCAAATGATAAGATAATCAAGAGCAAATGAAGAGAACACCTAGAGCAAATGATGAGAACACCAAGGGCAAATGATAAGATAATCAAGAGCAAATGAAGAGAACACCTAGGGCAAATGATGAGAACACCAAGGGCAAATGATGAGAACACCTAGGGCAAATGAAGAGAACACCTAGAGCAAATGATGAGAACACAAAGAGCAAATGATAAGATAATCAAGAGCAAATGAAGAGAACACCTAGAGCAAATGATGAGAACACCAAGGGCAAATGATGAGAACACCAAGGGCAAATGAAGAGAACACCAAGGGCAAATGATCAGAACACCAAGGGCAAATGATGAGAACACCAAGGGCAAATGATCAGAACACCAAGGGCAAATGATGAGAACACCAAGGGCAAATGATGAGAACACCAAGGGCAAATGATGAGAACACCAAGGGCAAATGAAGAGAACACCAAGGGCAAATGATGAGAACACCAAGGGCAAATGATGAGAACACCAAGGGCAAATGATGAGAACACCAAGGGCAAATGAAGAGAACACCAAGGGCAAATGATGAGAACACAAAGGGCAAATGATGAGAACACCAAGGGCAAATGATGAGAACACCAAGAGCAAATGATGAGAACACCTAGATCAAATGATAAGATAACCAAAAGCAAATTAAAAAATGTAATAAAGACGGAAAAAACTAACTCAAAAAGAGAATTGATGCCCTGCATCAGAAAAGAATAATCCATTTTTTTTATTTTTTTTGGGCACATCAAGAAATTATGAGAATCTGGAGTACTTCAAACGGAAAGGGAGAGAAGCAGAGAGAGAGCAGGAGGAGAAGTTGAGAAAGTGAGTCATTATGGCAAGGAACAACTAGTGTATCTGAAATGATTATTTCAGAATGGAACATAAAAGGTTGCGGACAGACATGAGAACACACTCCACTAACTATAACAAGTAAAAGTTAAGGACCCTTTTACACAGCTTCAGACACAGAGGGCTAGACCCATATCCTATAGACCAGTGGGCACTCGGTGGGTGATATGGTCCAATCATGCCGGCTGAATTATAAGAAGGAGTATACATAATTAGTTTAATTATTGAAAATCTTAACTCAAGAAATAACAAGGACACAATGAAACAGCAGTGTGTCTCAATAAAAAATAAGTTTTACCAAATATCCTATTTCAAGACAAACAATTACAGAACATACTTGTCCAACTCTTGTCCAGTATCATGAATGACATGTTTGTCACAAGGCAACTGTTGGAAGAAAAAACAATTATAATGGTTAACTCTGTAAAAATCCTACAAAAAATGTAATTTTTCAGTTTCATTAACTCTTTGAGTCCCAGGGGGTTTAGCATCACAGGTCCAGGGGGTAGTAAAGAAAATGATAAAATCGGCGCATCATGCGTTCATTGGGCTTCTAGGTAGGAACCTATGAACGCATGATGCGTTTCTTAGGACTCAAAGAGTTAAAAAGAAACGTGTGCTTGTATTCTCTAAAATTCTAGCGTAAGATACTAGAGGAAATGAAAAAGAAGCGAAAGAATTATGGAGTCTTTGCAGTTTTTATAAACCTCCAGAGAAGACAGTCAAGTGTCCACAGCTCTACTGCAGCAATCAAATTACTAAAATAATTTATATTCATTACCATTGTTTTATAATTTGACCCCAATATGGGACGCCATTTCTGTTATTTTGAAGCCACACCCTGGCTTTTGTTGCCGGCCCTTACCAGTTGAAGGGGGTTTCTGAGACTAGTGCCTCATCTAAATAGTGGCACTTTGTGTCACCGGGTGTTTATCATTCGTTGTGTGGTTCTGGTGGGGTTGAATGACACTCATTGCTTTTTTTTCATGGAAACAATTTTTTTTTCAAGTAAGCGAATTAATCGTTAAAATAAAACAGAGCAAAGAATTAACTGCTTTCGTTCCCTTTGACCATGATAAATGTGGCTTTGTTGACTTGGCCATAGGAAGCAAAGTAATGTCACATGAGATTATTTTGTTGTAATGATGATGTGTCAGTTTTAAAACAGTGAATGTTCTTTTACCCCTAATATCTCAACAACAATATATGTATATATATATATGGCCATATATATGTGTGTGTGTGGGTGTGTGCATGCACATGTGTGTGTGGGCCTGCTCGTGTGTGTGGGGGATGTGTGGGTGTGTGAGTGCACGTGTGTGTGTGGGCCTGCTCGTGTGTGTGTGGGGGGATGTGTGTGTGTGGGGGATGTGTGGGTGTGTGCATGCACATGTGTGTGTGGGCCTGCTCGTGTGTGTGGGGGGTGTGTGTGTGGGTGTGTGAGTGCACGTGTGTGTGTGGGCCTGCTCGTGTGTGTGTGGGGGGATGTGTGTGTGTGGGTGGGGGATGTGTGTGTGTGTGTGTGTGTGAGAGAGGGAAAGAGAAAGTGAGATATACTGATGATATCGATGGGACTGCATATGATAGAACAGAATAGAGAAATAGACAGAGACTCATTTATGACACACAATGGTATAACAGGCCAATGATGATGATGATGATGATGATGATGATGACAAAGTTCAGAAGGGTGATGTGGCAGTACAGTCATTATCACCTCTGCCTGCAGGGACAAAAGTCACTGGTTTGAATTCCTATCGGAGCGGATTTTTAAAACTGATCCCTGCTCCATACTCAAGTCAGCTAAAAATGTCACGTTCCTGTTGTGCCATTATATGTCATTATGTGTATGTATATATGTATATGAGTTAAAGGACCTGCTACCCGATGATGCTGATGATGATGAATCGGCACTCAGTAGATGATGGGATCAACATGGGTCAACAGTAACCCAGAAAATACATGGTACCAATTTTAGGCTACAATGACTTGTGAGCTGCCTTCTGGGTGTTTATTCGAAAAACCCTTCAGACTGACAGCCAAAGGCCTAGCCACTCTGCTATTGCGGCTCCACGAGCCTTGATTGGTCTCTAGAACTATGGTACTAGTAGTACTATATGTCCAGTGTGTCTGAATCAAGCCCTTTAATTTTATTTATGCAAGCAAAGCAAACCAAAGGACCCTTTTCCACGCCTTTAGGCGTATACGGCTAGGCCTATACTTTATAAACCAATCGGCATAAGACGGGTGATGTGGTCACCATCACGCCAGCCGCCTTTATTTCCTGGGACTGCACCTGGTACCCACTCAAGGCTGGGTCGACCTGGGAGCCAAGGTCATTTCTGAAAAAAAAAAGTCTGGCTCACTTTTATTTACAGACATCAGAAATACATTAGAAATGGCACTAAGGAAGCCAGATTTCTGCAGTCTGCTTTGACAAAATGTAGAGAGTAAGGGAACTTATTACAGAATAGTTGTGACTAATGGAGAAGAACGAGTCACAGATTATTTGTTGCTTTCTAATGAAATAAGTAAGGCAAGAACGATTTAAAACGAGTACCAGGAAATGTTTTGGGAAGTAAAGGCAGGAGACATGATATAGACCACAACCTCCACTGTGTATCAATTTGTACATAAAAATGGCACCTGAACCATATACTCCACATTCTCATGGCATTTCATGGCTGCGAAGGCAAGACAGCGAGGAAATGAACCAAACACCCCACCTCATTAAACAATGACCTAACGTTCCTGAGTATCAAGCACTTCACACTTTAATGGTAATATCTGTATACCCTAACCGTCTCATATTACTTTGTTGTTGCAAATAGAGAAACGTACAATAATTTCACAAAAACCACATGAGGATTTTTTCTAATAATCTTACTGGTCCTCTAAGGACAACAAGTTCCTCCATGAGCCGTCTGACTAGGACATCTTTAGCTCCCAGCTGACGGTGAAGCAGCTCATTGAACTCCATTAACTCTCCATGCATCTCAGCCACCTTGAAAATAAAAAAACACTGCTTATACTTTCAATCAATTCAGGAATAAGCTGGAAAAGGGTGCCTGTCCACAAGGAATAAGTGATTAAAAAAAAAAAACAGACCCGTGGTGAAAAACTAAGAGGTTTTGAAACAATTTTCATACTTAATTTGACTTTCAGGGCAGACCTCTGTGTGTTGATGTTACTGAACCTATCAAAAACTGAGCTGTTTGATCACGTACAGGGCAGACCTCTGTGTGTTGATGTTACTGAACAAATCAAAAACTGAGCTGTTTGATCACGTACAGGGCAGACCTCTGTGTGTTGATGTTACTGAACCTATCAAAAACTGAGCTGTTTGATCACGTACAGGGCAGATCTCTGTGTGTTGATGTTACTGAACCTATCAAAAACTAAGATGTTTAATCATGTAAAAGGCAGACCTCTGTGTGTTGATGTTACTGAACCGTTCAAAAACTGAGCTGTTTGATCACATACAGGGCAGACCTCTGTGTGTTGATGTTACTGAACCTATCAAAAACTGAGCTGTTTGATCACGTACAGGGCAGACCTCTGTGTGTTGATGTTACTGAACCTTTCAAAAACTGAGCTGTTTGATCACGTACAGGGCAGACCTCTGTGTGTTGATGTTACTGCACCTATCAAAAACTGAGCTGTTTAATCACATACAGGGCAGACCTCTGTGTGTTGATGTTACTGCACCTATCAAAAACTGAGCTGTTTAATCACGTACAGGGCAGACCTTTGTGTGTTGATGTTACTGCACCTATCAAAAACTGAGCTGTTTGATCACGTACAGGGCAGACCTCTGTGTGTTGATGTTACTGCACCTATCAAAAACTGAGCTGTTTAATCACGTACAGGGCAGACCTCTGTGTGTTGATGTTACTGCACCTATCAAAAACTGAGCTGTTTGATCACGTACAGGGCAGACCTCTGTGTGTTGATGTTACTGCACCTATCAAAAACTGAGCTGTTTGATCACGTACAAACTACTTCTGTGTTGACCCTCAAGAGGCAGTTGGCATGTAGTGTTGTTATTTACAGCTAGGCTGTTGTGCCTCTCTTTCAGCCCAATACGCCTGATTTCAGCAAACCCCTTGCAGGTCGAGATTTACAACATGCTTGTTGGGGGTTAATCTCCTTCTTCTTTGGCTCTGAACTCCGGCAGAGAGTTCTGGTTGTACATCCACTTCTAGACTCTAGTCTTGTTATAAGACTTGAGTTCTGCATGCATGTCCATTTTACAGATCTGGCTTATTTGTATGCAGACTGTTGGTTCCTCACATCTCGGGCAGAAGCACTCCGACTTCGAAAGAAAACCCCCTAATTAGCCTGCTTTTACGACATGTTTGCTAGGAAGGCAGTGGGTTCCTCCCCCCTCCCATAATAGAGCATCAGAACTCACACAGGGAGATGTGGAAACACTAATCACGGAGGCCAAAAGCTTGTTGATCTGAAAATCGTGGATTTAAAACCAAATGGAGACAAATTTGTACAGCTGACACAGGGCTCCCAGGTAAATTCAGCCTCAGTTAGGCATTAGGAAATACCCTGGAAAGTCAAGGCACCTGGCATAATATTGACCCCCTCACCCACTCAGTGTCAACTGGTCTATACAAACATGAGTCTACACAACACACCCAAGGTATCAAAAGGATCTGCCCCCGTGTGGGTTCCGGGGCCCCATTGTGGGGAAAACAAGAATAGACCCACTGCCTCCCCAAAAGCATGTCGTAAGAGTCGACTAATTGGGGAGCTTCCTTTGAAGTCGGAGTGCATCTGCCGGAGAGGCAAGGAACCAACAGTTTGTATTCAAGAGAATGAGATCTGTAAAACTGATGCACACGCAACTTTCAGGTTCTGGAGCAGGACTGCAGTTCAGTAGTGGACAAGCAACCAAAACCTTCCGCCAGAGTTTACAGCTGGTGAACGCGAAGAAGAAGAAGATCTGTGATTCTCCCCCCCCCCCCCCCCCCCCCCTTTGCTTACTTATGAATTGAGAACAGAGGGGCGGGGGTAAACAGCTTTATGCATGGCTGTCTGCGTGTTTGTTGTATGTGACTGTCCACATCCACACGTGTTTTCACGCACATATATTATTCATACACTTATACACATGGGAAATCTGCAAGAAACATAATTTTTTCTGTTGGGCTTTTAGGGTGGAGCGACATTTTGCAAAGTATATACTACATGATGACGATGAAGAGGTGAGAGAAGCGGTCTCAGAATGCACTACTCGATGTTTACCAGGGTTCAATTCCCACGGTATGAGGTTTGGAAAAAAAGATCATTCTCGAGGCTTGTGGAATGGATCAGGGCCTAAACATATAATATTCCCATAGTCAGCGCAGATACGCCACAGCCAACATTGAACTGTGGAGATAGCACAAATTAAAAAAGATTCACCTGTACAAGTTTCTTCTCGTACTCAGCAGCCTCGTGGCTGTAGTCAACTGTTGAGTTTGATGGTGACAGACCTGGCAGTGATTCCTCTGCAAGGATTCCTACAGGCTCTGTAATGTACAGATTGGTTTATTTATGCTTAATGATGTATTAAATACTAGAATAGTTTTAAAACAAATTTAAAATGTAAAAAAAAAAAATGTAAACAATTAAAATTATTAACCAATGTACAGCAACGTAGTGTATGTTTCACAAAATCATTCATTAACGTACAATTTAAAGTTTGTTTCATCAAAATAATTTTTTTTTCGCCATCACCCCACAGGAATTTCTTGAAAAAAAAATTATATTTTTATCTACATTTTGTGAATTTTTTGTTTTGTTTTTTGAAAATATATAAAGATATATTAAGAGGTAGTCAATAATCGTGCAGAGTGAAGAATTAAATGGAAAACATTTCCGGGGGCGTTTAAAAAAAAAAGGTTTCAGGTGACTAGTGCTGTGACCCTGTAACCTCGATTAAGGGACAATTTGACATCAAATTGGTTTTCAAAAAGCCACAGGGGTCATAATGAAGCATACAACCCACCCCCCCCCCCCTCACCCCATATGTGATATTTTTAGTTAATATATTCATATCCTGGGCTATTAAACACAGCTAATGCACATACAAAATCAACAGAATTCAATTATGCTTTTCGAGAACAGGCCACCGAAGACATAAACGCATATCAGCATGTACGGGGATGTGGCACAACAGGAAGTGGTTATTTTTAGGCTTTTCCCAGCAAAATGGTTTTTTAAAAAAAAGAGACTAACCTTCTTGGCTGTTTCCTCCTGTCCTCAGCAACTGTACAGCACTGACATATTTCTTCAGCTGGTGTTTCAGCAACTCATTCTCCCTACACAAGAACAGTTTTAGACAATGTCACTCACCTTTTTTATAAAGAACAAATTATATGATGAAACAATGACCACAACTAAACACTAGAGTTTCCACACTCGGACAAGAGAGTTTCCACACTCGGACAATAGAGTTTCCACACTCGGACAATAGAGTTTCCACACTCGGACAATAGAGTTTCCACACTCAGACAATAGAGTTTCCACACTCGGACAATAGAGTTTCCACACTCGGACAATAGAGTTTCCACACTCGGACAATAGAGTTTCCACACTCGGACAACAGAGTTTCCACACTCGGACAATAGAGTTTCCACACTCGGACAATAGAGTTTCCACATTCGGACATGCTTTCTCAGTGACTCAATGATTATGCTCAGGAAGACAGAGACGGCCTGAGCTCGAAAACAGTGGTTGGTATCTCTGATCAGTTTCATTTTTGTGCCAGGATATGCAGGTGTACAAAGAAATGAACAAGCTGATAGGCTTTCAGGCAAGGCTACTGTGGAATGTGGACAAGCAACAGACCAGAGTGACAGAATAAATGCTCTGCAAGAGGTAAGAATACTGCAAGAAACAAATGATGACTGTGAAGCTGTAACCGTGAGTAGACTGCAAGAAACAAATGATGACTGTGAAGCTGTAACCATGAGTAGACTGCAAGAAACAAATGATGACTGTGAAGCTGTAACCATGAGTAGACTGCAAGAAACAAATGATGACTGTGAAGCTGTAACTGTGAGTAGACTGCAAGAAACAAATGATGACTGTGAAGCTGTAACCGTGAGTAGACTGCAAGAAACAAATGATGACTGTGAAGCTGTAACTGTGAGTAGACTGCAAGAAACAAATGATGACTGTGAAGCTGTAACCGTGAGTAGACTGCAAGAAACAAATGATGACTGTGAAGCTGTAACCATGAGTAGACTGCAAGAAACAAATGATGACTGTGAAGCTGTAACCGTGAGTAGACTGCAAGAACAGCATGTGAAAAGGCTGTGAGGCCAGACGAGAGCTGTATGCAGAGAGGAAAATAAGAATGATAAACAGACAAAACTGGTGCCATCAGTTACTAAACGTTATTGGATTTACTGAGGATCCAAGCATTTACGAACTAAATCGTTCCATGTGCAATTAGGATAATCTGACAATTGAGCAGATTTTCTGCATTTGTTTTGTCAAATAGAAACATATGCTGAACAGTGATTACAATAACACACCATACATTCTTTTTTTCTTCTATACTAAACAAATAATTATCATATGTTCAAGAACGAAAATTATGAAACAATTTCGAGAAAATTCTCAGCTCTCATTTTATCACCTGGATCTACCCTGAGCACTACTGCTTATAACAATATCCTAACATAAAAAAAATTATTTACGTGGTTTAGAAAAAGGCAACAACCATGGGCGTACAGTGCTAGATGCCAGTCTGAAGGTCTTAGGGTTAAATCCATACCACCCTGTGGGGGTTCCAGGGCCCCATTGTGGGGGGGGGGGGGGCAGGGGGGGGGGATCAAGAACAGAACCACTGCCTCTCCAACAAGTATGTTGTAGCAGTCAACTAAGTAATGGCATCCTTTATAGTGAGAATACATCTGTCTGAGAGGCGAGTTACTAAGAGTCTGCATACAAATAAGCTAGATCTGTGAAACGGATGCGTATGCAAACACTATGGTTCTGGAGTAAGACAAAAGTCCGGAGATGGATGAACACTCTGAACTTTTTGTCGGAGTTTACAGCCGGTGAACGTAGAGAACAAGAAGAACCAGAGCAGTACTGCTTGGGAAAAAGATCCTTCCAAAAAATAAAAACTAACATGAAAAAATAAAAACTAACATGATAAATAAGCAACCGCTGTTTCAGCACAGTGGCTAGATGCAATCCGAAGGTCTTGGGTTCAAATCCATACTAAGAGGACTTTAAAAATATAGAAAATGGGTATGAGGAAATTTCCCGGGAAGCTAAAACAGTTGCTGGGCTTTCTATAATAATGTGCCGGTACTCACCACAATCGGCGTAATGCTGACCACATTACCCACAGAGTGCTGATGGTCTGTACAAATATGGGACGCTCTGCCCATATGCCCAATGCGCCGAAAGGCGTGAAAAGGGAAAAAAAAAAACTAACCACAATGTGTGGGAAAAAGGTGCTTGAACTTGAACTCCTCATAAAAGTGTTTATTACTTTAGCGCTTTAAAAACAATTAATGCCCAGAAAAAATTGCTGGAACTGAGTACCACTGCATACCTTAGATAAAAAGTCCTAGCTAGTGTTATTTTGACCACATCACCAACTGGGGTCTGGTTAATCAATAAAAATATGAGTCTAGTGTCAGCCAATGTGGCAATATAGGTTCATTAATTCTGACTTGTTTCTTCTGGCAAGAAAGTGCACACATAACATATCCAGTCAATAGTGTATGGTTAGCAAATGATATATATATATATATATATATATATATATATATATATATATATATATATATATATATATATATATATATATAGACACACACATACATATACATATAAAGTGAAAAAATAGAAAGCACATATACGTACTCACGCATGCATGCACACACACGCTCTCTCTCTCCCCCCCCCCCCATAATGTTTTAGTAACATGTAACATAACAAAACACTAGGTCTCACTTCTGCAAAGCCTGTACTTTAAGCTGCTCATTTTCCAGTGTGATCACATACTGCTTCTTTAGTTCTTCAATTTCAGCTTTCAATGTGGAAGATCTGTCAATTTCCTGCTCCACCATACTTTCTAGTTGCCTGGCAGATGTAAAGTCACATGACATCCAATTATATATTTATTCTAAATTTTAACCAATAGAGTTGCAACCTGAACAACTGATGTCCAGCGACTAAAAGAGCCACTATTTTTATATGAATCCAAGAGGAGAAAATCACAGAAACAAACATTCAACCATACAAATAGTTAAATTGGAGGCCACTATAGTTTCAAATGGGCTTTTAGCAAGATGCAACAGATTCTCACTCAAATAGGCTTTTATAGCAAGATGCAACACTCAAATGGGCTTTTATAGCAAGATGCAAAATATTCTCACTCAAATGGGCTTTTATAGCAAGATGCAACAGATTCTCACTCAAATAGGCTTTTATAGAAAGATGCAACAGATTCTCACTCAAATGGGCTTTTATAGCAAGATGCAAAAGATTCTCACTCAAATAGGCTTTTATAGAAAGATGCAAAAGATTCTCACTCAAATGGGCTTTTAGCAAGATGCAACAGATTCTCACTCAAATGGGCTTTTATAGCAAGATGCAAAAGATTCTCACTCAAATGGGCTTTTATAGCAAGATGCAAAAGATTCTCACTCAAATGGGCTTTTATAGAAAGATGCAGCAGATTCTCTCTTAAATAGGCTTTTATAGCAAGATGCAAAAGATTCTCTCTCACCAACAAGAAATCACTGCAGTGAGAAAAAGAGTGCTGAAGTCCTATGTATAACCTGTGTTGCTACATGCATGTGAGGTATGGACAATGAGCAAACAAGCTGAAAAAACATTTACTTGTGGCAGAGATGTGGTTTCTGAGAGGAATGCAAAGAATATATGGGAGGACAAAAAAAACAAATGAAGCCATCCTCATCAAGACAGATGAAAGGCGTAAACTTATCAGAACAAGTAAATGTAGACAGTCATATTAGAATGCAATCTTTTTTCTGTTCTTTTTGTCATTGTAATAGTTACACAATATATGGTGTATCTTTGAAAATCAAGACTGATGACTTTTTTTTTTCTTACAGCCATTATTGTGTCTAATGCATCTTCTCCTGTTAAATCATCTGGACTGAAAGGGTTAGGGCATTATTTAACTAAGCTTACTCAGCGGCCAACATTTTCAAACAGAGGATAGTCATGGGGCCGAGCTCAAGAACAGACAGATTAGTAATACAGTATGCGGGCAATGATCCGGTGGATTACCTGGTAGGCCTCCGCAGGCCACATTAGGCCAGTGGGTCGCTAGTTGAACAACCCTTTAATCAGCTCAGTAATCCGTTTTTGTCCAGACATTTCAAATAAGTCAAGTAAGCAAAACAACTTTAATCTTAACTCTTTTACGGCCAGGTAAGGTGTTAAAGCAACAACTAGAGGATGGCACTGCATGGGATCAGGGGCCCCAAGTGGGTCTTCGACCCCCCCCCCCCCCCCCCCCCATTACTTCCCACAGAACATGTTGCAATAAGGGGTTTATTGAAATTAGATGTATTGGGTTGAAAGCGCAGATAGCCTAGCTGTAAACCCCAACACAAGGTTTTCTGTAAACCTCAACACAAGGTTTCAACTGTCTTTTCAAGGGCGAATCTGGAAGATAAACTGTCTGCACCGTAACAAAGCAGCAAGTGAACTCACCGAGTCAGCTCCTGCTCTGAATCTTTTCTTCCTATCATGGTAACCACGGCTCGTTTCATTTCATCTGCAATCAAATGTACATCCTTGCTGGTAAATTAACACAACAGCATTTCACGGAGATAAAAATATTCCTTTTTCTTTGCATTCACCAGTTGTAAACTCTGGCAGAAAGTTCTGGTTGTTCGTCCCCTTCTGGACTCTAGTCCTGTTCCAGAAGCTGAGTGTTGCATGAATATTGGTTTTACAGATCTGACTTATGTGTATGCAGACTGTTGGTTGCTTGCCTCTCAGGAAGACACACTCCAACTTCCAAGGAAGCCCCCAATTAGTCGACTCTTACAACATGCTTCAGGGGAGGCAGTGGGTCTATTCTTGTTTTCCCCACAACATGGGGGTCTGGAACCCACAAGTGGGGAAAAACAGATACAGAGGTTCTGGAAAGACTATGAATGACAAGAGCATTATTGAAATTTTAAAAAAAAATGTATAAAGACAACTGAAATATCTTGGCCACATTAAAAAACATGACATGCTTTTAAAAACCATACCAGAGGAAAAGGTCGAGAGCAAGACAGCAAGAGGTTGACAATAATACAAGTGGGAGGACAACATCAAGAGATGGACAAACAGCAGTGGGAGAGAGTGTACACATGAGACAAGAGATAGAGCATGTTGGAAATCCACGGCAGCCTATCTTCACTGTGGAGATGGCACCCGGCTGATGATGAACACAATAGCACTTGAGAGCACAAACCTAGAGACTCAAGCCTGCACGGTAACAGCCTTCTCCCACATTCACAGTCATCTTTTATGTCATTTCAAACATTGCTAGTTCAATCACCAATCAGCAGGTTCTTTATAGAACGCTACACTCATCATAGTACGC